TCCAAATATAGCTCAAATGATTACCAAAATGCCTTTACCTTTTTTTCCTTTCTGGTTTAAATCAATTTGAAAAATTTTCTAGGAATTTTTATTACTTGTTTAATTTTATCGATATCGCTGAGGAAGTGCAGTTTTCAGTTGCTCACTGTTTCTCGCCATGCCACCTAAATCAAAGTAATATCAACAACTTTAAAAATACAATTGTTATGATGAAATTAATTTTCTTTTTTTCTTCTAGGACTTTTTTAATTCAATTAATTAATCTTTTAATTAAGTTTTTTTCACTTTCATCTGGGATTTCTTTTGAAGCTTTCAGATATGTTATTGTGCAGTTAGCTAGTGTAATATCTGGTACAACACGTATGTGGATTCGTGAACGAAGTGCCGAGAAAGCTCAAGGCATTTTTTTTGATCCCGCAAGTGGGTTTTTTTCTATAATTTTTGTAAAATTTTTTGGAAGTCAGTTTCCAGTTTGATCATCGCGGCATTTAGGTGGTTTTCTTCCGCAGTTCAAGCTTAGGTTGCAAATTCTTGTTATTTTTTATCAGATTTCTGCATTCCTTCTAGTTATTTAATTAATTTGGCCAATTTAGTTGGACGCAACGTTCTCTTTGAGGAAATCAGGAAAGTGAAAGGAAAAGCAACTTTATCAGAAAGAGTAAAAAAAATGTATGGGATCAGTACATGATATTTTTCTTGATTTGCAAATGAATCTTCAAACAGTTTGTGTACAGTCAAGGATACTATGTTTAGCTTGATATATTAGTTTGTTGTCTGTAAATTAGTAGGTTTTTATAGTGATAGTTACTTCTGGCTACAAGGCTGGAAATAGGTATGATAGCTACAAAAATATTAGAATTATGACTTGCTTGAATATCAGTTTTGTTATTTAGAAGCATATTGGAAATATATATATTTTTTGTGTGTATTGTTCTCACTTTTTGTATTTTCGAAATGTAATCTTGTTACCTTATATCTAATTTATTTTTATTTATTTATTT